TGTGTGTGTGTGTGTGTGTCTACACCTAAAGCTCTCAATAAAGTAAAGATAGGTGGTGTAGCTTCTCAGCTGTAGCACTAAACCTAGCACAGCTCAGTCTGTACCTGACACTCGTGTTGGACCAACTCTCCGCGGCAGCCGAGCCGGCTCCATGGTCACGGTCTTTAATAACAGCAGATGTGGACCATGTTACCGCAGCATGGAGGACGTTTACCGACATGTGGACTATGATGATAGGTCTGTAACCACGACCTGAACTTTACTGAACCCTGACAACGGAAGGAAAATGATTCACGTTCAAACAGCAGCAAGAGGAAGAAGAGAGGAACCAGAGACTTCACGTCTTCAGTGGGATTGAGCCGGTGATGGATTACAGGACGGGTCGAAGAAGAGACGTCTCCTTCATCGTCAACTACAAAGAGACAAAATGACAGAGACACAAAACGACCAGAGAGAGAGACTCACTGTCTCGTTGAGTACGAGGGGTGGGTGAGGGGCTGTTGGAGATCTGTGCCCGTCGTCTCTCAAGTCTGTCCATGGATTCAGTTCTATGTCAGTCACATATTTTATATCTAATATATTCTGTTCACATGTGAATTACAACATAAACCAGAGGGAACAGTTTCAAGAGTCTGAGTTTCACTGCTCGTGTCTGTGTCTCCTTTCATACATGAACTCCAGTGAATGTCCACTCAGCCGCTCTTTCTCTGGAGTTCGTCCTCCTCACATGAACAACACACAGTCGACATGTAACCTCAGGAATCATTCAAACTTAGATATGAACCATCAACTAAATTCAGTTTCATTTGACTTTAAAATCTTCACCGATGAATAATAAACACAAGAGAACACAACACCACAGACACACAGCTCAACTATATAATATAATATATGTTAAGTTATCTAATACAATAAACACAAGAGAACACAACCCAGTTTGATCTGGACGTGAATCACCACGGTAACGGTTTAAAGTGCTGAGGCCTCACTACACACTAATGTTAAACAAGTTGATTTAGTGTTAATGTCAAACCTTTATTAGTCTTTACAGTGAGAGACGATTCGAACATCTGACACGAAAACAAACTGTGAAAATATAGATTTCAATGTTAATATGGAGTCAAATAAACCGAGCTTCACTTTAACTGAGCAGAGAGAGAGAGAGAGTGTGTGTGTGTGTGTGTGTGTGTGTGTGTGTGTGTGTGTGTGTGTGAGTGTGTGTGGGCGTTCTTCCAGTAGTTCCTGGCTACTTATTTCCATCAGTGTTTTCTCAGCTGCAGTTTTCATGAGAGAGAAGAGAAAATGTTTTCATGGATTTACTGCTGTTATACACCTCCTTATCCCTTTCCTCCTCTCCTCTCCCCTCCTCTCCTCTCCCGTTCCTCCCCCTCCTCTCTTCTTCCTTCCTTCTTCCTTTCCTCTTGCTCTCCTCCTCTCTCCTCAATTTCCCCTGTTTCTCCCCTCCTCCACCTCCTCTCTTTGTCCTCTACTCTTCTCCTCCTCTGCTCTTGTTGATATAAGGTGTAGCCTGTTTCCTCTCCTTCCCTCCTCCTCTTCTCCTCCTCCTCCCGTTGATATAAGATGTAGTCTGTTTCCCCTCCTCCTCCTCTCCTCCTCCTCCTCCTGGTATGAGGTCTGTTTCTTGAGGAGCTCAGTGGATCTATTCATGTTCCTGCAGCTGACGCAGCAGTTGAAGCTGCAGTAAGTGTGTTTCCACCACTAGGGGGCATCACCACAAACAGAGCCTCATTAACTCATCAGCTGGTGAACAGCAGGAAGTCCATGAGTTCTGGAGCGTCAGCTGGTTCGATGTCTGAGCCTGGTTTTAGTTCTGCTTCACGAAGTTTCATTCTTGTTCTCGCAGATATTTTATGGTGACGTCACCGTTGGTTTGTGAGCTTCTGTTCTGAAGCCTCAGTCGGACGTCTTGGTTTCGTATCTGATGTTAGTTTGATCTCCGTTCCTCAGTCCAGTGATTGGCTCCACCGAGGAGCTTGTTTGGTGAAAGACGTGATTCGGGTAAAGAACCCGTCAAACTTTTCAACTTGTTCTCTAACTCGTGGATCTTGAAGAAAAAACATCTGGTAAAGTTTGATGACTCATATTTTTGGGTGTGTGTGATTTGGTGCAGCTTGGTTGAGTTTCAGGGGCTGTTGGGACGGAGGTATGAACGGAGTCTTTTCTAGTTTCCCTGGTTCGGTCCAGTATAACCGCCATCGTTCATTTGTTGGTGTTCAGCCCAGAATCAAACAGTTCACAGTCACATTTCCACACTTGTCCTGTCGTTGGTGGATGAGCCGTGCTGTCTTTGACCCAGTGTGTTAGTATGGTTTGGTTCAGATTGGACTCTGCTCCAGATGTTTCAGGTCCGGCTCGGTCCAGTTTTCACCAGCGGTGGAAGAGTCAGTTACAAGTTTGTTTTACTACTTTAACTCAGTCCAGAGAGAAACATGTGGAAACAGACGCTGACAGGAAACAGTTAAAAATGCACAGATTCAAACTAATATGAGTTTCTGTTGCGGCCTGGTAATTGTGACCGGCTGTGTTAAACTGTGCATGTGTTCATCAGCACACAGCGTCACGCACGGCCAAAGTCTGCACGGACCAACACGGAGAGTGGATTAAATCTGACACACACACACACACACACACACACACACACACACACCACCAGGTTGGTTCCCACCGTACCTCAGCCAGTGTTTGTCCAACTTGCTGCTCCATTTCCCATCATGAAACAATAGAGCGCACACACAGTAAGTGGTTCCAGTGGTTTATGGAGCAGCGCTGCGTCAATGCTGACCTCCGACTGCCCACAAAACACTGAGAGGAGGGAGCGACCGATCCACACAAACATGTCCGGCTTTATTTACACTCAGAGGTGGAAAGTACCTGAGGTCGTTAATTACAGTACGAGAACCCAAGCTAACGTGCTTCTTCAGTATTTACACTTGTGATACTCTACATGTGTCTGACGGCTCCATGTCACTGGCATCTGCAGCTCGTCTCTGGACAAAGCTCGGCTTGTGGAAAACTAAACATCTTTATTTCTGCAACATTGGACAAACAGAATATCTCACTGACAGATGTCGGCTAGGGTTGAAGGAAATCTGCATTTTCTTTTTATTTATTATTTATAAAGTGATTGGCAGTGTTTTTTTAACAAAGCTAGAAATGGGCGTCCGTGCAGACGTGTGTTGCAACTGACCGAAGGAACAACTTAATAATAATAAACTTTATTTCTGTAGCGAACCTCCAACACTGACAACTGGTCAACACTTGAAGAAATTCTTCCAAAGCAGACTTAAGACGTTCAAGAGGCCAAACACGTGTTTTGTGAGGCAGCTGTGATCTTGAAAACGAACCAGCCAACTCGAAAACGTTCGTCCACGAGTCCAACTGAACATTTGGACTCAGTTTGAAGAAATTCCCTCAAGGTGAAGAATGTGACGGACAACATGGCTCCTGCCCCGCTGGCTGCTGTCAGAGGCAGAGTGACAGATAAATGATTTTTGAATGGTTGGTGAGTCCACGCACGAGTTGGTTCACGTTGGTCTCTGACCTGGATGAGGGTCCAGGTGAAACAGCACGACCGGTCACACTAGTGTGAGGGGGTTGACTTCACACACACTCCTGTGCAGCTGTTGAAACAAGCTGCAGGAGTCACATGACTACGACTGTGGTTGTGTTACAAGCTTTCACTGCCACACAGCTGAGTGTGAGTGTGTGTGTGTGTGTGTGTGTCAGTACCTTCCAGATCAACAACGTGCAGTTCACCAAAGAACCCGGTGAGCAAACCTGAAGGAGCCTCTCTCGACTGTTTCACCTGGATCCTCGTTCAGGTCCGAGGAGTCAACGATCTCAGGAGACCCACGATGGACTGATCCAGGTCACCAGGAGACAGTGACGTCATCAGTCACACCTGAACACGTGCATGGACGTCACCTGGCCTCTGCTGCCCCCAGAGGCGGGTCGTCACATTACATTACTTCATTTATTACAGGCGGATTGAAGCTGTTGCCATAGAAACCGTTTCATCAGTAGCTGCGTCACTTGAACAGAGGAGCCACAGAGACACCTGCTGGTGTAACTGGAACAGTACAACCACTCATCATTTATTCCATCAGTTATTTTCATTCATTCACATCCTGACAGTGCGATGACATTAAACATGGAGCAGAGAAACAAACTGTCCACGAATCCAAAACCACAAATATTAAACTCATGATACAGAACCAGAGAATGTTTGAGACATGTTCCAATATATAAATAAATCAGGAATCAATCCACTTAATATTTCACCTCACTGTGACGTCTGAGGATTCATAATAAAAGTAGAAGGAAAGCAGAAGTGAAAGTTTTAAAACTGATGTGAAAGAAACCGTTTTATTGTCCAACAGTTTCTACAAGATCAATGAAAGTCAACACAATGTGTGCGTGTCAGTAACGTGCACGGCGTCCCACAGTTTTACTTCATAGAGTAAATACAAACGATGGAGACAAAATAAAAACAAGTAAAAACAAGGCAGAAGTTTTCAGTACATTCAACACGGCAGGTAACGCTCCGTCTGTCCGTCTGCACCACTGCTGTAGTCCTATAAAGAAGTGTTAGTCGATTGGTCGCTGCTTCCGGACCAATCAAGTCCGCCGCCCTCCCCCCTCCTCTGGAGATCACATGATGCTGGTCTGTCTCGGGCTCGATGGCCGAGGTCATCAGAGTTCATCCTGCAGGGAAAACAACAGACGTCAGGATCTTCTTCTCCAGATCGTTCGCATCCGAACTTAACACGAACAAGATACTCTCACCTTTGGTTCGCTGTGTAACCGTGGCAACAGCTTCTGTAGTCTCTGTCGGATGGTGTCAGCAATCACATGAGCGTCCCGGCTGTTGATGAGTTCACCACTGTGTTCGTACTGTCAACACACACACACACACACACACACACACACACACACACACACACACACACACACACACACACACACACACACACATAAACTCGAGTTCAGTCCATCTTCGACTCTTTCACAATTACACCACTACATCAACTTGCGTGTTGTCAGTGAGACGGGGTGTTTTTAACTGCGTCCTCACCCTCCTTGTTCCCAGGTACGGGTAAAACCGGACTGTTGGGTAGGCGGTGATTCCAGCTGATTGACAGGTCTGATAATGAGCCTGACAGTCGACCTTCCCCGCACGAATCTCCCCTTTGAGAATCTGTCAATCAGACAAACATTTGGCAAAGAACCTCGTAGAACCACAGAGAGAACGTCCCTTTAGAGAACGTGACGGTAGAGGTTTCGTGACGGGAACCACAGGAAAACAAGACACTGGATAAAAAAAGATTGAATTCTAAAAAGACGACGTTCTCTCACCCGAGCCAGGATCTCAAACTCTGGAGCAAAGTGTTGACAGGGTCCACACCAGGGGGCGTAAAAATCCAGAACCCAGTGATCCCGACCTGACAGAACCTGAGACCTGAACGTCTCTGGAGTCAAGTCCACCGACGCTCTGGGTAAAGAGCTGGAGACACAACATGTTAGCAACATGGAAACACACAGAGGAGGGGGCGGACAGACAGAAAGACTCGAGTCTCACCTCAGTGCCCATGTTCTCAGAGACTGAGCGTCTCTGTGCCAACCATTGTAACTCCTGCAGAGACAGAGCGAGGCAGAGGGGTGAGAAATGTGTGGAGACATTAATATGTCCCACAAATAACGTCCCGCAGACAGAAAGACAGAGAGACAGAGTGTGTTACATACATGAAGCGCTCTGGTTGCCGGGCGTTGCCGGGGTACAGTCGGATTTCAGGGTACGCCCTCACACCCTGACTCTGACAGAACGACTGAAACCGCTGACAGTCGACTGAGCCGACCAGGATCTGACCCGACAGCAGCTGAGAGGAACCGAGAGAGACACTGAGACCAACGACTAAACTACGTGTTGGATTTAAACATCAGGCAGCGACAGAGAGCGGGAACACTCGAGCACCATCAGCTCAGTGACAGTAAACGATAACAACAGTCTAAAGATGGTTCTGAGTATTAACAATAATAATAATAGTTGTTCTCCTGCAGATCTGCAGTCGGAGATATCTGCAAAGAGTAAAATAACCGTAAAGGTCTTTGGTTGTTCTCGTTGAATTGTGTTGCACCAATACTATTGTGTTTCAGTCACTTTCTAATCGTTCACATCGTTACGTGTTCATTAATCTGTGGTTCGAAATGCGACGTGTGTTCTACCCTCGCCATGCGTCTCCACTCAGGCATCAGAGCCTGACAGGGTCCACACCACGGAGCGTAGAAGTCCACCGCCCAGATCTGCCCTTCAGCTCGACCTGCAAACAAACCACCGGTTAGATCAGGAAACTTAAACACCTGCACAAAGAAGTCAGTGGTTTAAATTCTATATATCCTCACTTTCCTTTTAGATACTGTAACATTCTGTTTTTGTGAATTTCAAAAGTGTGTTAAAGTGAAATCCTCTCCTGCACAGGAAACACTGAAACACATCGTTCGTAGTATTTTCAGTAAGAAACAACCTGCAGAGGACAAATCTGCTACTCATTCATTTCTAATCCGGAGCTAAAACTCTCGTGAGAGTGGAGATTGTTTTTGTTTTAAAATAAAAAACATGTTCGCGTGAACGTAGCTCGTCAGTGAAACCCTGTTCCCCATCGTCAGGACTAGTTTTACCTTTAACTCTCTCAGTGAAGCTGGAAGAATCCAGGACGACCACAGATGGATTCACCAGATCCTGCAGAGACAGAGAGAAGCTCTTCATGAATCTGAGCCTCACTCAGCTGTGGTGTTGTGGTTCGGGTCAAAGGTTCGTGTTGGTTCAGTTTCAGATTAATTCAATCTCTCCTCTTTTATAAAAGTATAATAGTATTTTATAGTCGGTGAAAATGAAGAGAGGGTTTTTAAACAACATTTCAGTCTCGTCACATCTATAAAGTCCCAGTCCGTGTTTAATAACAGCCCTGTGTCGACGTCGTCCCGCCTCCGTCATGGCTCAGCACATGTAGTCGTTTCCAGACCGGAGTTTACCCAGAGTTCTCCTCCTCCAGAGAGTTCTGTGCACGTCTGACAGCAGCTCTAGTTCTGTCTTGACAACGACTGTAACTGTTGTCAGACTGTAACTTGTGGATACTGTGTCGCATCATGATGTCACTGGTGTGATGTCATACCTGTATGAACTCCAGGATGCCGTCTGCTGAATGCTGTCCCTCATATTCGTGAAGGGAGGAGCCGTTGAAGATCACTGTGGTGGGGTACGCTTGGATGTTATACTGAGACACAGAGAGGAAAGGTTTTCAGTCTGCCGCCTATCTCACGATGGATGGTACAGTCCAGATGTGTGTGTGTGTGTGTGTGTGTGTGCTTACCCTGGAGCAGAGGTTGTGGTGGATGGTACAGTCCAGAGTTCCAAACTTCATCTGTCCAGCCAAGTGGATGGACGCTTTTCTCAGTTCAGGAAGTAAAGCTCGACACGGAGGACACCACTGAAAACACAGATCAAACCTTTCTCAAACTAACATCGGCGTCACAGAGTTCTCTTTTCTGATAAGTCCCAGATTCACTCGTGATTGGTCAGGCGTGTGTTTGGGCGACAGATGGCAGCATCTGTACCCGAGACATTTTGACTTTATTTGAAAAAGGAAATGGAGACGTATTGTCCGTCTTTATTCACAGTCAGACTCCGTCTCGTCCCTCTCAACACTGATGTTTGCTTGATTCTATTTATCTTTAAACACTTTAGAAGACATTAAAACCGTCATGGAACAAAGTGACATTTATATTTATATAGAAGTGAGGTGTGTCTGCGTCTCAGTGTCCGTCTCATTATGTCTCGTGTTTGTGTTGTAGGTGGAGCTCCATCTCCAGCCCTGAAGGTAAACACGGAGTCAGTCGGTCATCGAGCAGCAGAGTTTGAAACATAACAATCTGAGCTTAAGTCAAACTTATCAGTGCTGACGTGGCCAGAAAGGTTTTTCTGATCCGGTGCCTCCGAGCTGCTGTCAGGAAAGTGAAGTGGTTACAAACCGGAGCAAAGAAGTCCACCAGCCACGGCTCCTTTCTGTCAGAGGGGAAGTTGTCGGGCTGCAGAGTCGTCACATGAGCACGAACGCTGTCCTTCGCAAAACCCACGATGTTGTACAACACATCTTTACCTGCGCAAAGACACAAGTCAGACAGACAGAGAGTGAAGAGACGGACGACTGGACGAAACAATAACTAGTCAACAATGACACAACAGTCTACAGCACGTGTGTCTGCAGAGGTCACAGTGACCTTGACTTTGAGCTTTAACACATTTAATCACTAATGGTAAAAGGACTGTGATTCAGTCAGTGGTTCGGTCTGTGGTTCGGTCCGTGGTTCAGTCAGTGATTCAGTCAGTGGTTCGGTCCGTGGTTCGGTCAGTGGTTCGGTC